TAATTAAATTTTTGAGATATGAATTTGGCCAGAGTTTGGGATTTGGGCACGAACAAACTAATTTTATAATAGTTTGGGATTTTGCCAACATGTATATATATAAGCCATCTGAATTGGAAGTTTGATGAAATCTAGGAGTATACTAAAGTACTAGAGTTATGCTGTAAAGTAGATACTAGAGTCTAAATAAACTCTATAAAAGTATAGTAGTTTAATAGTTAAACTCTAACTGCAAGTGTTAGTTTTGCTATAATGATATATAGATTAGTTATAAAAATAAATACAAAAGGATCTAGAAGGTTTATCTCGAGAATAAATTAGTTCTAAGATTGAGATGATGATCTGGGCATCTGGGTATAACCTAGTAAGTTAATACAGATTACAGGTTTAGAAAGTTTAAAGTAGAACATTCAAGCAGGAGTGTTAGATATAGCAATTAATAAAGAACCTTTAGATGAACTTCTTAAATAAGTAATATAAAAAAGTTACATATATAGTCAATTGTATACTCTCCTGTAGTGGTGTATTAAACTACAATACTGATAAGTAATTAATAAAAGTCAAAAAACCAAAGAGGTCACTTTAATACCAAAAAAAAAAAATTTAAATTATAAATACTAAAGAGAATAGCTAGAACTAAAATAAAAAGATAGATTTTTTTTAGCATATTAAATTATTAAATTATATAAAAGAGCTTGTAAAAAAAAAAAAGTTTGTAAAAAAAATTTAAGTATCTAAAAGACTAAGCAATGTTAAATAAAATTAATCCTAATAATAAATTATTAGTTAATATTGATACAATTTTTGATATTGATAAAGATGAGAGGTTCAATATGAATATTAGTGACCAGGAGCTTGACTATACTCTTAATATAATTATGAATATAACTGATAATGTTAAAGAAGTATAGAAGATGAATAATAATGATGAAATATCACAAGATTGGCCAAATACAAAAAGATCAAAAACATTTTATTTATTTATAAATTTATATAAAAAATAAATAAATAAATTTAGAAAAAGTAAGGCTTAAATACATCTAGCATAAGCATAAAATATTAGTAAGTGATTTAAGAAAAAAAATATATGAACTGAGTGGTGGTATTGTCATCACTATGGAACATATACTAGTGCTATTAAAGAGGATCTTAACAAAAAACTATGACTTAGACAAAAGAAGACAAAAAAGTGCAGATATAAGAGCTATATCCAAATTGCACTTTAATTAATATATTGACTATGACTCTAAAATATTATTACAAACATTATAATCATCATTCTGATAAATTATCTGACTTGTGTAATCTTTCTTTATTAGAAAATATTTGTTAATTTATAAGACAATATGCATTAAAGGAACTTGATGCTTATAGCATATAACAGCTTTTGTAATATTAGAGAATCAAATTTCTAAATTAAGTGTAACAATTAAATATTAATAATATTAATAATAATATTCAAGAATTGAGAGATAGGCTTGTAACAAGAAATAATATATATGCAATTATATGTAATACAATAAAAGTTTGTGCTTATTTTAATGAAAATAAAATAAGGTTTCTAAAAAAATAACAAGAAAATTGTTTTGTGTAAGTAGTTGCTATTTGTTTAAGTATGATAATAATAAAAACAGAAGATTTATGTTTGCTTTTCAAACAGAAAAGCAAAAAAAACTAATGAAAGCTATGAGAATAATATATCTTAATAGTATGTATAAGTTAAATCAACATGAATACTATCATTTTATGCTTATAATATAATATTCAATATTAGGTAATAAATATTCAATTGAGTTTCTTATTAGTAAGTATAAAAAATTAAATACTTTAAAAAGTTGGCTTAGTTATCTAAAAGCCATGCATAAAGAATAAAATTTAAATATATTCATAATGGATAATGCTGAAAAAGTAATTATAATAATTAAGAAAAGCCTTTCTAATAATATAGTATTATTCTGCCACTTTTATGTATTAAGAGCTTGGTATAGAAAATTAAATTATTACTAAGATAAGTAATAATACAAATTAAAAATTAAATTAATCAATTAGTTGTAAATTTGACAACTAATTGATTTAATTTTACAAATCTAACTTAGTCAATTAAATTGATTAGTTGACTAATCTATTGGTCAATTAATCAATTAGTTGATTAAAAATATTAGCCCAGCTGCCATCATTATTTATTTACTATACCAATTTTTATTTATTATACAATTGCTAAAGGTAATAATATTATTTATCATTAAAAAAATATTATTAGTTATTAGAAAGTTTTAGTATAAAAAAAAATAGTTTGAATAAAGTCTATTAAAATATAAACTTATTAACTATTTAAAATTTTTTTTCACCTAATTAATTAGTTAGCTAATCAATTAATTAATTAATTAGTCAATTAATCAATTAGTTAACTAATTAATTAGTTAAATAAAATTGATTAATCAATAAAGTGATTTGTTAACTAATCAATTTGTATTATCAAAGGTAAAGATAATAATTTACAAAAAACAATTATATAGAGAGACCTATAGCAGTTAATGAAAATAGAAAAATAAAATAATGCAAAAGCACTGCAACAAGTTGTAGAAACAATTAGCAGATAGATATTGTTATAGTAAATAACTTTACTAACTATTTTGAGCATTAGTGAATATCAAAATATGAGAAGTAAATAGTTTGTTTAAGAGGAGCTGCCTGAAATATGATTAACATAAATAATCTGATTGAAGCATTTTATTAAAAATTAAAGTATGTTTATATGAGAGGAAAACCTAAGTGCTAACTTAAGAATTAAAGAGATTGCAAGAATAATACAAATAAGGCAAAACAATATTTTTAATATTAGTTCAGATACCTAGATAGTATGCTTTATTATTAAGAATAATATAGAATATTCTATATAAAGAAATAATTTTGCAGAAAATTTAAATACTACATTATATATTTGTATCTGTCAAGACTTTAAAGCTTGTCAATTACTGTGCAAGCATGTATTTGCCATATTAAGTTATCTTCAAATTAATGAAAATGAAGAAAGTAAGTACTATAAAAAAAAATAACCAATCTACATAATTTTTTTAACAATTTATAGAATTAGAAGCATCTAGTTTATTTAGTCCTTTATATCTACAAAATAATTCTAATACAAATTATAAATTTGCAAAATTACAGAAAGAATTAACAGCAATCATTACAGAATAAAAAGAAAAAGATATGCAAGATATTTATAGTCTATAATAACTCTTTAGCAAGCAGTTCAGATAGAGATAATGAGATCTGCAAAAATCAATGTTTTACTGAAAATTATTGAAAATAACAAATTAAAAACTTCAACTGTAAATCTGAATTTTAAATTTAAAAAACAAAATAGATTTTTGAAATCTTTGTGTTTTTTTTTCTTTTTTTTTAAATTAAAAATTAGATGCATTTAATCTTTTTTTTCTATAAATTATCTTAAGATCAATTAAAAAAAAAATAGAAAATAAATAAATAAATATTATTCTAAAAATACTTAATATTTTAATTCTTGAATATATAATCTTGTAATTCCAGGAATAAGGTTTTTTTTTAAATTTCTAGACATGTAAAAGTTTCAACTATTTTATATAAGTTCTTATTTGTCAAGAGAGCAAAAAAATAAAATTTTTAATTTAAATATAAAAAAAAGATAAATATTTAATATTTAATAACTTTCAAAGTATATGCATAAACTTATTACTGTCACTTTTAAATGTAGAGCTTGCCAAAATCTTTTTTTAACAATTGTGTTAGCATCAGTTCTATGTACAGAAGTATTTGCATTAATAATGCATAAAAGCAGTAATTATAAATCTGTAACACTAGCATGTAATAAGCTGTTAGCCAATCAGAAATAAGATCTACCTATGACTAATAGAATACTTAAAAGAAAATTAGTAAATGACCTATCATATTACTTTGAGTAAAAGTATGCTGCTTGTTTAACTACTTAAAATTTATAATAAAAAAGTTTTTTTATTTTTACAACAAGCTTTAATATTGTCTTTTTAGCTTTTTTCTTAATTTATTTGTATTTTTTTTTCTCTTATTTATTACTGATTTGTTTTTTTTTTCTTGAATCCTTCTTTTTTTAAAAAAAAATTTTCTTTTATTTTATCTGTTATTTCTATTTTTTTCAATTTGTTAGTTTTTTTATATTATATTTTTTAAATCTGTTTATAGAACATGTTTCAGACTGTTTTTGTTACTATTTTTATAAACTGCTATTTGACTTTGTATTTAAAAGCTGTATTAATCTGTTCTGTATTTTTCTTAAAATTAGATTTTTAATTAGTACTTTTCTTATTTTTATTTCTACTTTTCTAAAAAGTACTATATACAGCACATATAGAAAAACAGATTTCTTCTTCTTTTTTTAGCTCTTTTTAAGTTGTTGTAATAGTTATTTTTAAATTCTTTTTTAAAGACTTCTTTGTTTTTTATATAATGCCAAGTATGTTTGTATTTCTTTACTTTGTTTTAACATACTTAACATTTTATTGTTGTATATATATCTAGTTTTTTTTTTATTAAATTTTTTTAAGATCAGAAGTTTATTTATTATATGTATACTTTATAAATACATTTTTTTTAGTACTACTTATTCTTGTTATGTAATACACTCTTTTAGTTATCTTTAGTCTTTTCTAAAAATATGTTCAATTATAAATTGTAACTTTTGTTTCTGATTTTAAGTTTTTAATTACTCTTATTTATTTTTACTTTGTTTCTAATTTTGCATTTGTTACTAATTTGCATAACAGTTTTGCTAGTATATCGGTTTATTTATTTTTTTTATTTTAGACAGTATTTTATCTCTTTGTATCTAACTTTCTTGGTATGTATTATCTTTTTACTTGTTGCTTTTTTTTTTTATAAAATTATCAGTTTTATTATTTTATCTATTTTTATTATGACTTTTAACTTTAATTAACTTTATTTATAAGGGTGTGGCGACCTAGTGAAGTGGTCAGGTTGTCAACCCTCCAAGTGGTAGGTTGGGTGTTCAAATCCCATCG